GCTTTGATGTTGGCAGGGGAGCGTCCAGACTAGCGCGCTGAGCGGACAAACAGCTGATCAGCTGTTTGTCGGCTCTGCGCGGCAGCCATGTACATTTAAATGAAGCCGCGATCATTTAAATCGCGGCTTCATTTGCCTTTGCCTATCTGTCTAATCTACATGACTCCATCGATGGAGCCATGTAGTCTAGACACAGCCTGGGAGCCCTAAATGCTATATGGCGCCCTAGCGAGCCCTTGTACTGTCACTAGTCTGTTGTGAGCCAACTGAATTGCTGGGTCCCATGTGCTTCTGAGCCAGCTGGCACTGGGCAGAGTCTAGTCACTGTATACAGCCCTGGGAATTCTAGGGCTCAGGCCTTTAATCTATTCTCCTTTCGGATGTGGGAGGTCTGCATGCCTCTTCCCAGAAGTCTGACACAAGCCTTTGAGCCTCTTTAACCTTCACATCACTTACACTCACTGCCTCAGAGCAAGGCGGGGGGCACTCCAAGCAGGGCCAGATTTAGGAAGTGCAGGTTGAGCAAAAAAAAAAAAAAAAATACAACCGTTTTTGTAGGAGAGGGCAGAAGGCAACATTCCCAGTCCTCATTCAGAAACAAGGAATCACAGGCCGACTCCACCTCCTGCAGCGCACAGAAGCAGCCACGCTCCTCCTCCAGGGCCGACGCCCCCTCCTGCAGCACGCCCGGCACGCCAGTGCACCTGGCACACTTCTGGGTTTAGGGCACAGAGCCCTCTGGCTTTAGGGCATGGGGCCCTTTTAGGCACGGGACCCGATTCGGGGGAATTGGGCAAATCAGCCTAAAGCCAGCCCTGTCTCCGAGCTCACTCATTAAGGCTGTGTCTAGACTGCATCCCTTTTTCGTAAAAGGGATGCAAATTAGACATATCGCAATTGCAAATGAAGTGGGGATTTAAATCTCCCCCTACTTCATTAGCAAAAAAATGGCTGCCGCTTTTTTCTGGCTTGGAGCTTTGCCGGAAAAAAGCGTCAGTCTAGACGCGGATCTTTCGGAAAATAAAGCCTTTTCTGAAAGATCTCTTCTCCCTCTTAAAATGAGGCATAAGGGATCTTTCGAAAAATCCATAGCTTTTTCTCAACAAAACCGTAGTCTAGACCTACCCCGTCCTCAGATTAGAGCATCCTATTGCTCCCCTGCCAGCAGTACAGCCAGTCCTTCTCCCTTGCATCCCAGGGAGAGACTGCCCTCTGTTCTGCTGAGCAGCCCTTTTTATATGGGCTGTTCCAACAAGCCTTTTCCTTACTGATTCTTTTAATAAGCTCCTCCCTGATTGGAGGACCTCAATAGGACATCCAGTTCCGTGCCCTGAACCAAGGTAGGATTAGTATTATCTAACCTGTCCTTGAAGGGTGTTTGTCGAACCCAGCTGTGGCCAACCTGAGGCTCACGAGCTGCATGCAGCTCTCTCCCCCACCCTGTGACTCGTAAGTTGCCCCCGCAACCCGAAAAATGGCTCTCTCCTCCCGGCTCCCTGTGCTGACCTGGGCAGGGGAGCTGTCTGGCACAGTCATGAAAGATGTAGAATTAAAGATGGCGGTGGGAGCCTGTTGTGGCCAAAAAGCCTCAAAATGCATTTTCTTAAAGGGGTGGAACTTTTTTTTCCCCCCTCAACAACTTTGTCCTGGCTCTTGGCGCTGGATCCACTGCTATCTTGTCTCTTTGCCCAGAATGGGTTGGCCACCCCTGGTCTAACCTATGGGAGATTCCACAACCTCCCTAGGTAACTTCTTCTACTGTTAACCTACCCCAGCAGTGAAAATGGGTTAACATTTCTTACAAGTACAGACCTATTGCAACCTAATCTCTGCCAGCTCTTCAAATAGCTCCCTGCAGGCTTTTGCTACAGCTCAGCCAGTTCTTGTCAGCACTGCGTACCAGGGTGACCTGCTTACTGCTTACTTTCACCTCCAAACTCCCCTGACAGTTTTTGCTAATGTCTAAACCAAGTCTCCCTTGCTGGAACTTAAGCACATTATTCCTTGTTCTGTCCTCCATGGTTAAGGAAAGCAACTTATCACTCTCTTCTTTATAACAAACTTTTACATCCCTGAAAACTGTTCTCGTGTTCCCCTCACTCTTCTCCACACTAAACAAACCCAATTTATTTTCAATCTTTCTGCGTAAGTGATGTTTTCTAGACCTGTCATCATTTTAATTGCTCTCTGCTGGACTTTCTAATTTGTCCACATCTTTTCTGAAGTGTTGCTGCCCAGAACTGGACACAGTACTCCATGGCTACGTCTACACTGGCATGATTTTCTGGAAATGCTTAGAACGGCACAGTTTTCCGTTATAAGTATTTCCGGAAAAAGAGCGTCTACATTGGCAGGATGCTTTTCCGAAAAAGCACTTTTTCCGGAAAAGCGTCCGTGGCCAATGTAGACGCGCTTTTCCGCAAAAAAAGCCCCGATCGTCATTTTTGCAATTGGGGCTTTTTTGCGGAAAACACTACTGGGCTGTCTACACT